AGTGACGGCAGTGAGAGGGGCAGGGTTGGAAGAGCTGAAGGACCCAGCTCCTTGAGAAACCGATCATGAGGGAGGACGGGATGACCAACGCCAACGTGGAGGGACTCAGTGACAGCGGCGATGGGGGCACCGCTGGAAGACCGGAAGGACCAGGCTGGGGACGGATCCTCCTGGAGAAAGTCCATCTATGTGGCTGCCAAGAGTCGACACAGACTTGATGGCACGTAATCATCAATCACGTACTACAGCATGCTATAATGCTGGACTAGTTGTGTCCTTCCTGTACATTTGAAATCCCGTGTTTTGGTTCTCCAGAGGGGAGGCCTGTCTTTAGCATCCGAGGCTGTAATCCTTGACTTGAACGTAAATTCTCTCAGATTCAGAAAAGCAGATGTGGATTCCATCGCCCTTTGCAGCTGGAGAGGCATTTTTCCTGTCCTGCCTTGTTGCCAAGGGCTACTGGGGCTGCGAAGGGGATGCAGCAACGTCACAGAAGGGGGCAGGGTCAGAACCTTGGAGCCCTTTTTCCCTCTTCCTTTTGGTTTCCTTGCGGGGGGGGTCTTTCAGTAAAATCGATACCTTCAGACGTGTGGCAAGCAGGCGGCTGACTTTTTGAAACGCTACGCTGGCATCATTCAGAACTTTGAGAACTGAAAATGGGTCTGGATGGCTCCATGGGACCTGCCCACGGGCCAAGGATGCCCCTCCTTTTACTTCTGAGTAGACCCCCTTCGCTGCACCCCAGGGCTCCTTCTCGTTGAGAGCCTTGGACGGAGCTTGCCGGACGTGGCACGTCCGGGGTCAGCAAGGACCTTCCTCTGTTGGCAAACCTGTCTGAGCCAACCCTCGCTGGAAAGGCAGAAGAACTCTAAAGGAGGAGGGTGGTGGGACCCGCAAAGTTGCTTATCGAAATGAGCAGATGGGAGAGAGGCCCCCAGGCGCTCTCTTCCCACACGCTGCAGCGAGGCATTGTCTTCCTCCTGGAACGATACCAGCAGCTTCCAAGTTTGCGGCTATAAATACAGAAGTTAACAAGTGCAACTCAGCGCCCTCCTCTCCTTTATTGTTGAAGGTGACAGCAGGGTGGCCTCCTTCGCTATCAAGGTCTTTCTCGAGATGATGCCAGTTTGTATTGTCAAGGCATCCCTTGGTTCCTTTTATCCAGAGGACCCTTCCTTCCTTCCTTCCTTCCTTCCTTCCCCTCGGTGCTATCTTTGGCTCTCAGAGGGCTCGGCTCATGTGCCTCCTCCTCCTCCCCTTTGCCCCCTCCCCTTTGCGGAAGACCCACACACAAAGGCTTCTCCAAAGCTCCCGGTGAAGGAAGACAGCAGAAGGTGGG